TATAAGGTTTCCTTTGCGAATTTTTGGTTATTTCATCATTTTCTCATACGGGTTTGAGCTTGAGGGAGCAAATTTAAGAGGGATTTCAAGGGGATTTTGTGGAGGTAAGGTTTTTGGACCCTAAACTTGTTTCTATGATGGTTTTTGACTGATTAAGCTTGAAATCTATGGATATTAGTAGCAAAAATTGAGGGTTTAGGGCTTGAAAATTTGAGACCTTAATCTTGGGATTTGAGGGGTCATTTGTGGTCGGATTTTGGTATTCTTTGTATGTATGAACTCGTGGGAGGATAAGGAGTTTATTGATGTAATTTTTATCGGATTCCGTGACGTGGGCCCGGGGTGGGTTGAACCAAATTTCGGGATTTGTGTTGTATTTTGATTATTTTCGCCTGGGCTTCGTTCTATTAGCATATTTTGACGTCATGATTTTGATTTTTGATAGATTCGATGCGAGTTGAGGCCGAGTCGAGAGGAAAGGACGTCACGGTGTAGTATTTCATCCGGTTTGAGGTAAGTAACCATTGTAAATCTGGACCTAAGGGTGTGAAACCCCGGTATTGTAATGACCCGACCGGTCATTTTGAGTTCTAGTGCATCATTTAGCAGTTTGAGGCCATGATCAGCTTCACTTCAGGTATTATGACTTGTACGCATGGTCGGAATTGAATTTTGGGAAGTTCGGAGTTGATTTGGAAAGAGAATTCTCATTTCAGAAGCTTTAAGTTGAAAGATTTTTTATCGCTTTTCAGCGTTAGTGCGGCCGGTTGTATGGAGGTGCAGACCTATTATCTGTCATGGAAGGTTGTAGGATACGTGCCCTACGGGGAGGTTGTATAAGTGTTGCAGGTAGTCACTTGATTAGTAGAAGAATTAAACCAGGTATGAAGATTATGGTGATATCGTCAATTTGAGAATTTATGCCTGGAGGGCACTCAGTTTATTCGGTTGTGTACTGTGGAGGATTACTTTGGTTGTGATGGTTGTTCTTGTGTGTTATGGAGAAAAGAGGTCATTATGGACCCAGGAAAGACTATTGGCCTAGTTTGGTACGATCAGAATCGACTTGAGATCTGTGGATGGATTTAAATATGAATGTGGGCTCTATATCATGCCAGATGTATTCATTTTAGCATGGCTCTCCTTATGGAGGAATATTCGGACGTTGGATGTTATTTCGTTGCCGGCTATTTCGTGTAATGCTATATTACGCCGTGTAAGTTGCGAAACGGCTTGGTAAATTTCTTATGTGATGAGGTTCTGCGTAGCGATGGTGTTGTGTGAACAGGATGGCTCCTTTGTTTTAAAACATATACCGCACCTCAGTTGTGCTCGAGTTTGTTAGCTTATGGCGCTACATGTTCCCCCAGGGATAGTATTATGCACTTAGCGTGCTTGTGGCCGATATTCGGTATTGTGTTGTAATGAGCAATTCGGCTCGATGTGCATCTCCTTATGTGAATTTTATGTGTGGATTGGGTGGCACGCCGCCATGGGTATGTTATTCGGATCGGGTTGCACACCGCAACAGTGTGATGATAATTATAGTCCCTCATATTCCATTATGTGTGCTTTGTTTCCTTTTTCTGAGGAAAGTTCATGTTAGTGCGTTAGTTGAGTAGTCCCTTCCAAAGTTCGTCTCCCTTTTGTATTACGCTCGAGTGGGTAGCCTATTGGCACATTGTGGCATCATATGAGACTTTTGATCATGTCCAGGGTGGCTTATTGCCCGACCAGTTCATCCTGGGTGAGACAAGATCATCGGATTTAGGATAAGTGCAATCTAATTATATGAAGTGTATTAAGGAGCAAAGACCATTATTTGGTTCAGAATGAGGTGATGGTTCTTGTTAGGAGTATAGACTCAACGGTTTGTCGGCTCGGTAGTTGGTTATGAATTATTCATGTCTCTTTCGTCGTTGTGGTATTGCGAGAGTTGGAACAAGAATTATATATATCATGAGGTGCATTAGGAGCATCAGATTCATGGAATTTCGACTAATTTGATATGAGAATGTTATTGTGGTCTTGTCAGTAAAGTGGTGCAACGTGTGAATTCAGCAAAGGTATGCAGTCATGTTTTGGTACAACGTGTAGTGTTTGATATGGTGATCGTATGTTGGAAACAGTCCTGGCAGAGAATTTTGGATGTTGGAATTGGGCTCTAAGCTTTTTTGCTTGAATGAAAGAGAATATCTTCAGATTTGCTCGAGCTAATGTGCTCAACGGAGTTGCGGTAGCACGGGTAGGTACTCGAGGTGTTAAACAGTGATTTCGGACAACTCCAACGCAGTTCTCAGCACATTCGAGGACAAATGTATGTTTAAGTGGGAGAGAATGTAATGACCCAGCCATTTGTTTTGAGCTCTAGCGCGTCGTTCAGTAGTTTGAGGCCATGAGCAGCTTCACTTCAGGTATTATGACTTGTACGCATGGTCGGAATTGAATTTCGAGAAGTTCAGAGTTGATTTGGAAAGAGAATTCTCATTTCGGAAGCTTTAAGTTGAAAGAATTGACTAAGATTGGACTTTTGAGAAACGACCTCGAGATCGGGATTCGAAGGTTCTAGCAAGTTTGTATGATGATTTCAGACTTGGGCGTATGTCCGGATCGGGTTTTGGAAGACCCGGGAATGTCTCGGCACCTATTGTGGAAGTTAGCATTTTTGGAAGAATTTAATAAGTTTGGGGTGAATTGTATTTCAGTGTTATCAATGTCCGTTTGGGATTTTGAGTCTTGGAATAGCTCCATATGGTGATTCTGGTATTGGGAGCGCGATCGGAAGTGAATTCGGAGGTTCGGAGGTCATTTTGGAGTCATTTGGCTAAAGATAGAAATTTGAAGGTTTTTGAGAAGTTTGACCGGAAGTGGACCTTTTGATATTGGGGTCGGATTCCGATTTTGGAAGTTGGAATAGGTTCGTAATATCATATATGATTTGTGTGCAAAATTTGAGGTCAATCGGGTGTGATTTGATGGGTTTCGGCATGGAATGTTGAAGATTGAAATTCTAAAGTTCATTAAGCTTGGATTGGAGGGCGATTCATGGTTTAAGTGTTATTTGATGTGATTTGAGGCCTATAGCAGGTTTGCGTTATGTTATAGGACTGGTTGGTGTGATTGGATGGGTTCCTGGGGGCCTCGGGTGAATTCCGGGTGGTTAACGGATTGAAAATGGAATTTGGAAAAGATCTGAAGCAGCTGCCTTCTAGTGTAACCGCATCTGTGAGGCTTGGGCCGCAGGTGCGGAGCAGCAGAAGCGGACTTTTCGTCGCAGAAGTGGAACTGGATTGGTTAGGCTGGGATCACAGATGAGGTCATCTTGCCACAGAAGCGGAAGCGCACCTGCGGATGGAGGAGCGCAGAAGCGGAGTGAGGGGTTTGGTGATACACCGCAGAAGCGGTGTGGAAGATGCACTTGCGGTACCGCAGAAGCGGTCAAGTGACTGCAAGTGCGGAAATGCTGGAGGCAATGAGTTCTTTTAAATCAGGGGTTGGGTTCATTTCAACCCCATTTCTTCCATTGGAGCCGATTTTGGAGCAACTTTGAGGTGCCATTTTCACCACCAAGCATGAGTTTTGGAGCATTGTGCATCGATTCGAGACTTCGGAAGGGCATGGAATACCGGTTAAGGATCTTCGGAGTGAGGTGAGTCTTCTTTCTAACCTTGCAAGAGGGAATTGTCCCCCATAGGTAAAATAATTGGTTATGTGCTCTTATTTGTAGGGGCTACGTACGTACGAGGTGACGAGAGTCCGTGTGTAGCTACTATTGTGTTTAAGTCCGGGTAGTCTAGGACCCAAAAAATATGCTATACTTAGAATATTGTAATCTTATGGACAATTTGAATTGCTTAAATCACATCAAATTAGTAAATGAATTTCTAAAAAGGATTAAACTTCATTTTCTTAAATTGATAAAAGAGAATTGGCTTTTCTTTGGATAATTGTTCCCTGTTGACTTCTTGATTGATTGTCTGTGTGTGTTTAATTTCGGAACGGACCGAACACCTCGGTAGATTAAATAGATGCATCTATGGTTCGCGTCATTCGATCCTCTGGCACTGCATAGTTTAAATATTGTTGGATCGGGTCGTACGACCTCGGCATGATTTGCGCATGCTTGTACTGCTTGCCTTGAGATTTATAGAAATTGATATTTGGTCTCCCTGACTTGAGATAAATTGATAATTAATAGATTATGAATTAAGAGACTTTTATTTGGTCTCCAACACTACAATAGCATATTCTGGAATCCTTTCTTTTGATAAGTAATCAAGGTTTATTTATAGCTCGTTTGGCCAAGCTGCAAAAATCAGCTTATTTTGATAAGTGCTTTTCTCAAAAGTATTTTTGGTGAGAAGCAGTTTGTGTTTGGCTAATTAGTTTGAAAAGCACTTCTGAATAACAATTATTGTTTGGCCAAGCCTTAAAAAACTACTTCTAAGTGTATTTTTCTCAAAAGTGCTTCTCAAAAAAGTACTTTTGGAGAAAAGCTACTTTTTTCTGCTTCTCCAAAACTGCTTCTGCTTCTCCTCAAAAGCACTTTTTTTCCCTCCAAAAGCTTGGCCAAACATCTCAATTTTTGGCCAAAAGTGCTTTTGGCCAAAAAAAACCCACTTTTGGCTAAAAAGAAGCTTGGCCAAATAGGCTAAAGTATGTAACACCAAATAGGTGCTGATATGAGTACATCCTTTGAATTAGAAAAAGATACAAAAGCTGGCAAAACAACCATGGGGTCCTACAGAGTTCTTGAATGTTATGAAGGAACTAAAAAGAGTGTCTAAGTTGTATACATCATATAAATTAGGTCCGAAAACCACCAAAGGATGTGGTGCAGTGGTGGATGGGACTGCTCCTCCCTTAATCAGAGGTCTCGTGGGTATGGAAAACTCTTTTGTAGGGAGCGCTTCCTCCCGAATGGAACCCTACGCAGCGCAAATACGGATATAGTCAAGCTCCAATGCGGATACCGGACACTGGGTGGGAAAACAAAAAAATAGGTCAAAAAAGCTAACAATTGCCCAACATAACTAATACATGTACAAAAAGTTATTTTGGCAGTAGCATATGCAAATAAAATCTTAAACTATAAGGTTTCAAACACCAAAGGATATAAAAATTGTTTGTTTGGCTACATGTGGAAGAAAAAGTAGTTGCAAGAAAAGGATTCCCAGTTGTAATTGACATTGTTCTCATCATCTTCTCTAACCAACCCTATCTTTATGAATTCTCCAGCGCTTCCAATTGTCTACCATCTCCTTGGCTTATTCCCTCTTCCTATTTGGCTCGCACCTTCTTCATGTTTTAGTTTGGCAGCAACACAGTTCTTTAGTACAACATTCCTCTACAATATACTACCATGCTGCTCTTCAAACCAGTAAGGCACTGCCTAGAAGTTCTAAACCTGGTGCAACAATAAACATCACGTTAAACCTACGTCCAGCTTTGTCTAATTTCCTCTTTTTCCAAATAACTTTTTGCCTGCAACAATAACATGAGGATCGAGATAAGGCGCCATGTCAATTGAAGCAGCCCATAGAATGTGACTATTAGAGGCATTCCTATGGCACTTTAGTCATGATTTTGTGGATTCTTCTTCTTTGCCATAGTAAGCACTTTCTGAACTTTACTAAGCGCATTCATCTTTCTTCCATATAAGAAAAAGACACCTATAGTGGAAGACAATGCTTTAGGCCAGATCCATGTAGATATCCTATGCCTCGTCAAAATTATCAAGAGTAATAATTTCTAAGATTACAGCCAATCAAGAAATAAAGTAGTAAGATTGTTAAGTTTTCTCTTAAGCAATGACAAATAAGACCAAACATGGTCAAATGAGTCCTGCAAGTTCTCTTTCTAATGAGGGCATATCAAATACACAAGAATCATATCCTTCAAAATTAAATCCCACACTTCCCAAAATTTACATTGAAAATTTTCCTGGAAGGTTCTTAGTGACAGGAGACTTTAAATTCGAGCAGGAGCAGCTTTAATGTAAGCATCATCGTCCACATGACAACATAAAACTATTAGTTTGGGTAACCAAAATGCCAAGTCATTCTTCTTTTTTTTTAAAAAAAAATAATAATTCTATCAATAGATTCGAGTATGCTAGCCATTACGCCTTTGACATGTGCATCAATTTTCAAACACAACATTGGCCACTATGTCATTTTAATAAATAGTACATATTGTAAGAGGTTGTGAAGAAGTGGGTGTTAGGTCATCTTACTACCTAACCTCAAGAAAATTATTCAGTTAAAATATCTTTCAACTTAGCTAATTATACCATTAGAAACAGTTACCGTAAGCATCATTTGGAGTTTAAAAAGACCTTATGTCGAAAGAAATTATTTAATTTGACACAAACACAATTATATGTATATAACACTATATACCTAAACAAAAAAATGTTCTACAATCAATGCATATAAACTACAACGCATAAGTGTTATCTTTCTCATATAACTGCATAATAGATCGTAGCTAGAAACCCAAAAGTATATTGCTGCACACAAAGGAAAAGATAAATCCAGGGGAAAGAAATAGAATAAGTAGATAAAAATTGAAATCTTGTCAAGGATGACAGAATTTCAAATAAGAAGTTCCTCTTCAATATACATATTCATTTGTGCGTCAGAGTCCGATCATCTGAATTTGAGCTTTATTTTTCTATGCCTTTGTGCAACATTTTTTATATCAAATCTACCCAGTAAAATCAGTCATCTAAATACTAGTATCATCTATCTTTTTCCTTTTTTTGGTTGAATGAGATGTAAGACTCTATTTTGAATATTCATAATTTACCTTTAATTAAAACATAGAAGTTATACTCCAACTAAGAGACTACTTCGTGAAAAACTCTTTATTCGTTGTATAGCCATTAATTACTTGCACCTTATTAGGAATGGCCACTTATTTCTTCTTCTTTTTCTGAGCATATTGTCAAATGCATAAATTCATATTCTGATAGAAGAGGAGCAGTATAAAATCTATAATACTTTATCAGCAATATACAAAATATATCTTCACCAGTCCAGTTACTCAATTTAGAAGAGTATTAAATATGTCAGTCTAAGTTCAATAAATAATAAAGATTTATAGTGAGCCATGCTACTCTTGTCAAAAGTTAAGGCTAATGTCTGATATACATATATAGTTGATATAGCATGTCTTCCCGGTGAAAGACTGTGATGTTAGATTATTCATAGTTTTAGTGCTACATCTTGATGTGCTTAAATTTCTCTATCCATTCTCCTAAATTTCTTGAACCCAAATATAAAATATTATGCTCCCTGCCAAGAATCTACCCATCAAAATGTAATTTCATTATTTGCATTAAATTTGACAATTATACAATAATATGCCTTGTACGAATCCTTAAAGAAACTACAGAAAGACAGCAAGTATGAAGCCTTGCACTATACCTGAAGTAAAAGAAATTTATGATGTCAAGTAGTGCGATTCTTTCACTCTACCTCAAAAGCCAAGAGCTAGCATAGGCTAAAAGATACAGATAGTTATTATTTTTCTCATCGAGTAAGAAAGCAATCCTTCAATGGGAAGGTAGAAGCATCAACAGAAGCATCACAACAAAATTATGGAATCCACAATATAAACACAACCTTTTAGCTAAGCTGGTAGTAACAATAAGTAAAAGTAAGTGTTACACAGGAAGGGAAGAGGAAAAAATGACAGTGGTACATCTGAGTAGTGCTAGCTCCGCATGGACTAAATGTTCAACATGTTCGAGAAATTATAGCAACCAAAGATGACCAAATAAAAACTTCAAGATTTATGACTGGATAAATTATTGTTATTGCAACTCTTTTGTTTATTTTATTCTTCTTGAATTTCAGTTATATAACCGTGCATTAAGCACCAATCTGACAGATAAGTTAGTAATATAGAAGTACTACTTTAAAAAAAACTGCATTGATTTCTTTTGAATACAGAGATGGAGTAACATAGAGATGATCAGCAGTAATCCAAACTGAGCAGGATCTTTTGCTTTATTAATAATATAGGTGATGTATCAACTTTTTTCTACTATTAGGGAAAACTTTAATTCCCTTTCTGAAAAAGATATGGATTTCTTTAAATATAATTGTACCTGAAAAATGACTTAAAGTGAATTCATGTTTCTAAAGCTAAGAAAAATTCTAGGAGAGTCAAACGTATGAAGCTTAAGCACTTCGCCAAAGTAAAAATAGCATCATTTATAGTGCTATATCCACTTTTTTAGAATACGTGCTACTATTGAAAAGAGTATAACTTACAGTGTTGAACTCCACTTCTTTCAGAATATTTACTACTACATGATGTGATTCTTCTCTGCTGTTTTGCTTTGGCTTTCTTTCCACTTTTTTTCCTTCTCCGAATCCAAAAGGTGCAACAACCAAAAAATAAAAAATATACACAAAGCTCATGAGAGAATATTTTGGTTTGGTGCAATGATAAAGAACCATTCTGTCAATCTCCTAACACAGATGGATAGCAGATCCTACATCCTAGATGATTACTGACATTACAATATATTTTGGATTGACACGTTACAATACTCATTTTGAGAGGGAAATGGTAACCCAGAGTATTTTTTCCAACACTACTCGTCATAACAATATCTCAAACACTAAACCTGTACATCTTTATTTTTATTACAATAAAGAATAGTGGAAACACCTTTATTGTATTGAAATTAACAATTGGAAAACATAACATTACATACCTTCCTCTTCCGATAGATTAGAGAATTTTTCAAATTTCAATCCTTGATCTTGTCAGCAGTAGTTTGAGTGTCACACAAATTCTTTTCCTATACTAATCAGAAAGAGAATAAAGATATTATGCAATTATATAATTTATTTGTGCTCTCTGATAAAAAATAGAGGGACCATGAGCACAGAGTTAAAAAGCTAATGTGCCTTCAAGTTAACTTTAATCACAAACCTGTGTTTCATGTATAATTTAAAGCTACAACAACAAATAATCAACTTACATCAGGATGATTGTGAGGAATAATCAATGGCTCCTTAGGGTTTCTCTTTACGTTTGATGTTGTTGATAATCTAATTGCAAACTTGGTTCTTGAACTTTGATGAAGCCAAGATTTGAATTTTTTTGGGGCCATGAAACTACTGAAGGTTGGTCATTGATGCCTGGAGTCGTCCTCACTTTCTTCTCACAACATCTCTTTAGCTTTCTATTTTTAGTCACTATCACATAACGTCTCTAATTGTTCTTCCCATAGTCCTTAAAATTTGCCGAAAATAATTGGTTCTAAGTTTTTCTGATTCTTAACGAAGAGAATGTTGTCTATAAGCATTGAAAATTAGGGACAAAAGTGTGGTGAAGCCGATGAAGGTTGCAGGGCATAGGTTGAAATCCAAATCAAAACCTGCCGGAAATTCTCATCCTCAGTTTAAGCCATACATTCATTTTAAATTTGCAAAATCATCATTTTTCCTATTTAAAGGTGATTTTTTAGTAGGTACTACTATCACGTTTCCATATTTGTCGCTCTTTTTCTCTTTTTTTATTTCAATCATTCCTTTCCTTTTTGCTTTTGATGTTCTGGTTATGGATTTTATTATATTTATCCTTTTCAGAACTTGACATAGAAAACGACTTAAAAATATGCTAAGTGGACCTTTTTTCAGTCATTAAAAATGTAAGTGATGCATCTTTGGGTGTTGGATAATAGATTAAATTATAGAATACCCGGAAAAAGGAAGGGAGAAAAGTACTTTTAGGCATAACGTCAAACACCTTTGCTACATCAATCCCTTTTCATTACAAGTTTCATTCCTGATGGTAAATTCTATGTGCTTCCATAGAAGAGTTTGGACTAACCACATGCATGTACAAAATATACTAAGAAAGCATGAAGAAAACAGAAATATCAGATATATTGAAGTTAAATATTCACAATTATACATGGTGTACTAAGGATATTTAAGAAAATGTTAAGAGAATTTCAGAGGCATTATGAAAATTGTAAAATCATCATTCTCTAAAAATAGAACGAACCTGGCATGCCCATTAAGAAAACCCAAGGAAAACTAAGAAGTATTCAACTATCACATATTAATAGGAATAGTAATTTTGAAATAAGTTCAGAATCTAAGGCCAAAAGCAGGAGCAAGAAAAATAAAATGCACAAGATGAGTAAGACAGAAAAATAGTTGTTCAAGATGGAGAATTACTTTCTCTCTTGCCTGTTATCTTCGCCATTATCTTCACATGTGACTAATTAACTGAAGAGTCAAAGGCACAAAAATTTCTAGAATAGCGGTAAAACATTGATGGAGAATGAATTTTACCAGCAGATGATTGAGAAATGGAAGGAACAGGGTTAATGGTAGGAGAAGAATAAGACAGGTGTCCCACAAAGATATAAAGACCAAAAACGTGTCAGGAAAATGAGGAAATTAAAAGGGTTAAATTTCGAGTGTAAATACAAAGCTGCCCATGACAAACAATTAAAACTACTATTGTACCCATGTTCGTCCTACCCAACTCTCTTTTCTATAAAATAGTAAAAAAGGAACGTTTACCTGCTTCGTGACTCATTTGAATTTACGGTCGTTTTTAATAAATCCATGATTATTTGTATTTATAATATATTACTATTGGACCACTAGTAAGTGTCGAAGTCGACCTCTCGTCTCTACTGCTTCAAGATTAGACGAGATACTCACTGGGTACACGTTGTTTTTGTACTCATAATACACTTGATGTGCATTTTTGTTGCACAGGTTCATGTGTGGCTAGTGGCTTAGTGGCATCACGGCATGGTATACACGAAGACTTAGGTGAGTTGCATTTGTCGAGACGACCCGCAGCTAGCAGAGTCCCCTTCAGAGTATTGTACTGTATTTTCGTTTCTGTCCACATTGTATTCCGGACAGTTACTGTATTTCACTTCATTCCTAGTAAATGCTCATGCACTTGTGACACCGAGTTCTGGGATGATTATTGGGTATCTTGTATTTACTTCTAAACATTCTTTTATTTACATTGTAAAGATTATCTTTTACTAGTAAAATTGAAGGAAAATCATAGTTTTTAAAAATTATTAAAACGAGAATTTAATTAAGCATTTTGGTTGGTTTGCCTGACAGTAGTGTCCGGCACCATCACGACCATTAGTGAAAATTGGGTCATAACAGGTATTTCGTATTTTTTTGATAAATGAGGTGACGCACATTCTAGGTGACGAGCGGGTGGGCAAGCACCAATAGGGATTGTGACTTGGTCCGTCCCGTAGCGATTATTTAGCCGCATTTTTGATTTGAAATCTTATGATATCACGTATTTTAGAGTTTGATACTATATTTTGGGTTGTACTCCATGTTTGGGGCCTTGTGCCGACATGTTTAGGCTCTTAGGGTCAGTTTTACTACTTTCCTCACTCTGCTTGATTTGAAAGCATATCCTCAGTCATGTTTTACATGTTATTTGTTTAAAACCAGTTTCATCACTCTATTTCTTATTTATGAAAACTGTTTGAGCTGAGTTCCCTGATTTTTATTGATATGTCGAGTGGCCGTGAAGTTAATGACTGAGAAATATTTAAGACCTAATGGTGAGGATTATATACCTATTATGGATCGGGCTGCACGCTGCAGCAATATTATATATATGGATCGAGCTGCACGCCGTAGCGATATTATATATATGGATCGGGTTACGCGCTGTATCGATACTCATATGGATCGGTTGCACGCCGCAATGATAAATATATTGGATCGGGCTGCGCGCCGCAGCGATATGACGCTTGGGCTAAATGAGCCCCTCTGGAGTCTGCACACCCCCAATGAGCGTAGTCGACTATAAACTATGGATCGGGCTGCACACCGCAACGATTATATAATTATTATGGTAATGAGATATTATTGAGCCGGATGCTGAATGTGAGTACTGTTTGACGAGAGTTGAGTCACGAGTGACTGAGAGGCTTGCCCGAGAGGCTATATTTATGACTGATACCTGGCCCGAGGGGCTTGTTTATGACTTTTGTTGCTTTCACTCTTCTTTTATACTGAACCTCTGTTGAAAAATATTGAATAAATATTTTCAAATTATTTGTAATCGAAACTGAAGTTTTACGAGATGATTGTCTTTTAAATTGCAGAATTTGGCTGGATATTTCTGTTGAGACTTATTATATGATTTTAACTGCTCGTCACAACACTCATACCTTATTTACTTTAGTTACTTATTGAGTTGGCATAATCACGTTACTCCATGCACCTTGTGTGCAGATCCAGGTGCCCGAGCATCAGAGTGAGAGTTTCCAGCACTCTCAGAGCTTACCGGAGACTGCAAGGTAGCTGCACGGCGTTCGCAGCCTGCTTTCCTCCTTCCTATCTTAGTATTCTGTTATTTCAAACTTATGATGTATTATTCAGTCAGTTTTGAGTTGTATTTAAAGGCTTTTCACTAGTGATACCGGATTTGTTGGGCTGTGTTTGTATTTTATACTGGGATTTTCGTATATTCTGTTTTATTCATCTATTTCATATGGCGAATTTGAGACTTATTCAATACTAGAAAATGATTTTTATAAAAGATTTTATTGTAGTAAATATTTGGTTGGCTTGCCTAGTACTGTGATAGGCGCTATCGTGACCGAGGTATTTGGGGTCGTGACATTTTCGAAGCAGTAGTCATTCTTTAACAAAACAAAAAATATAATGAGGATCATGTAAAAAACAATGCAAGGCACGATGTTCAACAACAAATATATTATGACACTAAGCAATAATTGATTATGTTAATAAACACATATATTAATCATGGAGTCGAAAGTTCACTATGTTCTCAATCATCGTCCAAAAATTAAAATATTATGAAAATTAACCTATTCAATTATCTAGCTAAGCATCTTAATCATGTTTAAAAAAACGTAATTATCTATCATGATTTTACAATCCCATGTGAATCATAAGCTAACTAATAACTTATATTTGCATGTAAATAAAATTAATGTTAAACTAATTCACATTTATTACATGCTATTCAAATTCACATAAAATTTATTTTAATGTTAAATTAATTAACATATGAAACATGTTAAACAGATTAACAAGTAAATTTAATGTTAAACAAATTAACATTCAAGCATGTTAAAAAAAATTAACATATAAATTTAATATAAAACAAATCAACATTTCAAGTATGTTAAACAAATTAACAAACAAGTTTAATATTAAACTAATTAATAATTCAAGCAATTAGGATAATAAAACGATTATAGTTTTCATAAAATAATAATTATATATTCTGAAAATTAGGTTAATATAACCAATTTTCATAATCTGTATTTATTTTAAAAAAATAGAACTTAAATTAGCCCAAAATAAAATTACGCAAGACATAAATTGGGCCTTTAGTCCAATAGAAAGATAAAGTAATCTTAAAATGTGACCTTTTTTAATCTGACATGTAATAGGCCCATGCGTCTGAAGCCCGAGATGCAGAACCTTTGTTAGGTGTATCAATTTTAGAACATAAAGAAAATTGATTTTTTCATTCATATATACTATTTGAAATTTTATTACCTTTAATATTTATATTTAGCTAATTACCCGACATAAACAAGTTTTATTTACAATATATATATAATCCGCCTTAAAAGGCTCCCAAATTCATTATTTGTGCCTTCAATCAAGGAATTTAGTTACACCATTTTTCTTTTTTTTCTCCTCTTTCCCTTTTCTCTCCCGATCTTCCATTATTTTAAACTATTTCACTGATAAAATACTCACATAGCTTAAAGTCAGAACGGGGAGTAGTTTAAGCTATGTTGATCTAGTTTAGGTTCTATCAAAGCCGACTGGCCATATGTTGTTTTCCAACACTGAATTGATGTAATTTTGAATTTTGCTGTCGTGGAATACTTTTTGTAAGAGCTCTGATTTATCACTGCCCTCCACTGCTGCTACTTTATGTTAGCTGCTTTGCATTGAAATATACGGCTAATACAAGAATGAATATGCAGCTTGATCAGACACAAAATCACGGATTGTCATGACCCGGATTTCTCACCCTCAAGAGTCGTGATGACACCTACTCGCGAAAACTAGGCAAGCCGAGTATTATAGATTCATTAACTTTTTTCCTTAACCTTTTAACATTTACAAATTAATATGTGATCAACAGCAGAATAATCATAATAAACAGAAACGCGGAAGACGAAAATTAATAATTTAACCAAATACTAGTACAAAATCCAACATACAACTCTACCCAGAATTTGGTGTCACAATATCATAGACTATCTTCGAATACTACAAATAGTGGTCTGAAGGAAAATAATACAAATCTGTCTCTGAAATACATAAAAACAAAATGGAAAGATAGAAGGGGACGCCAAGGCCTGCAGGCGTCTACAGGACTACCTCGGGTCTCCTGCTGGACTGAACGCAGCAACCTCACTGTGGTCCAAAAGCTCTAGCGTCGGGATCTGCACACAGTACAGAGTGTAGTATCAGCACAACCGACCCCATGTGCTGGTAAGTGTCGAACCTAACCTCGACGAAGTAGTGATGAGGCTAGGACAAGACTACCAAATAAACCTGTGCAATTATATCATATACAACAAGTAATAACGACAGAATCTAGCAGTTAAAGATGGGAAAAGGAAACATGCTCGGGGGAAATATCATGTACAAACAGAAATTCAAATAAGAAGCATACGGAACACCAAAATCCAACTATAAGCAAGAATAAGGAAATCAATGAAAAGTACACAACATCACCCTTCGTGCTTTTACTCTCGTTCTCACCATAAAAATTAATATATTCGGCACGGCATCATCCTTCGTGTTTTTACCTCACAAAAACATTGCACGACATTATCCTTCGTGCAGTATCACACACATCATGGCACGACATCACCCTTTGTGCTTTTACATTTACAATATCGGCACGACATCACCCTTCGTGCATTAACACTCACTCACAAATATCACGCACGACATCACCCTTCGTATTTTTACACTCTTCCT